CAAGGAGGAGGTCATGGGAACCTCTGATCTATAACCTGGTGGTCAGAACATAGCTAATAACCTGAACTTGCAATTGGTGTCTGAAGCGGGGAGAGTAGTCTTTTAGGACTGAATCCTTAACCTGTGGAATCTGGTACTATCTCCAGGTAGATAGTGCCAGAATTGAGATGAATTGTAAGACACTCAGCTGGTGTCCAGAGAATTTCTTGTTGGATCTTTGGGGAAACATCTTCCCCCACACATTGGAATTGGGTGATCAGAATCCTTATATAACAAATTAAATGCAAAGAAAGTAGAAGGAAGGAAATAATAAAGAAAATGATATGACCAAAGAAAGAACCAACAAAGCCGAAAGTTAGTTTTTGAAAAATTTATAAAATTGATAAACCCTCGTCAAGATGAGAGAGAGAAAGGACAAATGAGAGAGAGAACAAATTTCCAAGATCTGGTAAAAAGGCTTGTTAAAACAGATTTCTGGTTCACATTCCGAGATTTTCTGTTTCAATAGGTCTGCGGGGGGGCGCTGAAAATTTCTTTTTCTAACAAGCTCACAGGTACTACTGCTGCTGCTGATTCATGGTCCACGCTCCAAGAGACACAGACTAATCAGGGCTCTAGAATGTAACAGAGGGTGCAGTCAAGCATACAATTGCAGGCCTCCTCTATAAGATGAGGTGGAGTTTGATGAATTCTGGAGAAGGAACCAGCTATGCTAATGGAAAGGAGAGAAAGCTATATTTTCAGCCATTTCCTTTGTTAGTGCCATGGAGTCTATTCCAACTCCCAGCAACCCTGTGTACAGCAGAACGGAACACTGCTCAGTCTTTTTGTGCCATCCTTTCACCTTCCTGCACTATATCAGACAATGCTTTGCTGCTGCTCATAGGGTTATCTCTTGGGTTGTTTTTTTTTTTTTTTTTTTGAGGTAACATTGGTTTATAACATTATATAAATTTCAGATGCACATCATTATATTTCGACTTCTGTATAGCCTAAAAAGTGTTCATCACCAAAAGTGTAATTACCATCCATCACCATACACATGTGCCCAGTCATCCGTTTCGCCCCCTTCCCTTCTGGTAACCAAGTCACCCAGGCAGAGACAGAGAAATTACATTAAAAATGCTCAGCATCTCCAAGGGCTGGCCCGGTGGTGCAAGAAGTTAAGTGCACGTGCTCCGCTGCTGCGGCCCGGGGTTCACTGGTTCGGATCCCGGGCGCGCACGGACGCACTGCTTGTCAAGCCATGCTGTGGCGGTGTCCCATATAAAGTGGAGGAAGATGGGCATGGATGTTAGCCCAAGGCCAGTCTTCCTCAGCAAAAAGAGAAGGATTGGCAGATGTTAGCTCAGGGCTGATCTTCCTCACACAAAAAAATAATGCTCAGCATTTCTGCAAACACAATTATCCCAGCATAATTATGGTTAGCTTACTTTGACAAATGATATTTCAACAGAAGCAGGAAAAAAAGTTTTAAAATAGGAAGCCAAAGGAATATCACTGTTAAGTCTTATACCATATTTCATTTATTCTCAGACACATTCTTTCTCATATCTCATGTGTATAAAATCTAGGTGGATCCTACTGTTGATACCGTCTCATAATAAATTTGCAGTTTTTAATTATTTTTCTGCTAGTATATAAATTATGATTTATCTTACAACCTATGGGAACTCTGGTTTGATCAAATATGATGATTATTTGGTGAAATACGATGAGATTGATTCCTGGGCTGACAACTTGAGCTTCTGGGCTTCTGGGTCCTTATTCCAAATGAAAAAGGAGACAGGATAAGAGCTCATGGGATATTCTGATATGACCTGTTAAGAACATAAGCGAAAAATAACTCTATATAAAAGATATTTGTACACCCATGTTCATAGCAGTGTTATTCACAATAGCCAAAAGGTGGACTCAACTCAAGTGTCCATTGACAGACGAATGAATAAACAAAATGTCTATACGGCCTCCCATATATATATTTATATACAATGCAATATTATTCAGCGTTAAAAAGGAAGGAAATTCTGACATGTGCTACAACACAGATGAACCAGGAGGACATTATGCTAAGTGAAATAAGCCAGTCACAAAAAGACAAATACTGATAATTTCACTTATATGAGGTACTTAGGGTAGTCAAATTTATATAGACAGAAAATAGAGTGGTGGTTGCCAGGGCCTGGGGGAGCAGGGAACGGGGAGATGTTTAATGGGTATAGAGTTTTGGTTTTCCAAGAAGAAAAGAGCTCTAGAGATTGGCTGCAGAAAAATGTGAGTGTACTTACTGTTACTAAACTGCACCTTTAAAAATAAATAAATTGTTATGCTTTAAAGTTGCTTGAAATAGTCCCTGACTTGTGGTATGTCACCAACTTGATAAGTGGTTATGCTCATTGTTGCATTTTGTTTTCAATTTTTAGGAAATGAAACTCTGTTTGATTTATAATGTTACAAAATGTCTATATGGAGCAGGACATCCAGAATGGCAGAGCAAGAAGCTCAGGAAATCCTTTCCCCAAATATCGATGATAATACTGGACAAAATTTTCAAAATAAACCATTTCAGAATTCTGAAAAATGACCAAAGGCATACAACAGGTTGAGAAGTGCTTGTTCAAGAAGAACTACCTGAACCTCAGCAAAAGCACTGGGGACGATTTAACTTGGACCTGCTCTCATCCTTCTCCTGGCTTGGTGATGCCATAGGCTGAGGACTAGCAGTCTTGCTGTCGCCAGAAGGGTACAGGAGATTTGGAACTCCATAGAGAGCCCACATGTCCAGGGAGGTTGTAGAAAACAATAGCAATTGGTGGCAAACATCAAAGGTCAATATTACAGCTGCCTGAGGCTACAACGCTGGTTGAGGCAAAGAAGAGACCAGCCAAAACCTAATAAAGACATCTAGGAAATGAGACAGACATAGAGGACTTTGATAAGCTCCCACTTATTCCCTGAGGTTTGGAAGCCTGCACATATACTAAGGACAGACCAAAGAGGACTACAGTTACCTGTTTTATCCCCGGCCAAATGTGAAACTTTGCACGAAGAAAAAGTAGAAGCCAGGGCAGATTTGTAAACTGTTTGGTAAATGTGTGCACCAATCCTCTCAGATCCTCTCAGCAAAAGCTGGAAACCTTACTGATTTAAGGTGTAAAGGCACAACCTCTGACTAATCACTGGCTACCACTAAGTTGTACTGATTTAGGTGTGACTCCCTAGGAAGCCAGGAAAGAGAAAGAAAGATGTGGAGGAAGCAGAGGAAGGGAGTAAGAGAGAAAGAGATATACTGAAAGAGAGAGGGAGACAGAGGGAGAGAGAGGGAGAGTGGGAGGGAAGAAGGAAGGAAGGAAGGAAAGAAAAGAGTCTTATATTTAGGAAAAAAGAGCAGAGACATCAGTGGCTGCAAACTACAGGGCAGCCAGAATCTACAGAATTAGTCAAGGTGAAAAACTGAACAAAAAACAAACAAAACCACAGAAGCAAAATGAACAAAACAGATGACAACTTTATTTGAAGAGCCTCAAACTAGAAGCAAACCAAATGTCCATCAAAAAGTTGATGGACAAAATATATATATATAGTATATTCATACACAAAATTCTATGGAGCAATAAAAAGGCATAGACTACTGGTACACTGATAAGCAACACGAATGACATAACTAAATGCTAGGTGAAAAGAAAACCACACCAAATACAAGAGGACATACAGTTTATTCCAAATTAATCAAATTATAGAAAAGATAACTCTAAGCTTAACTAGCATAAAGCGTATCAGTAATTGCAAAGATGCAGTGGGTTTAACCACAAATATGTATGAGGGGTATTGGGATAACAGAAATGTTCTATATCTTCATTGTGGTTGCGCTTACATGGGTGTAAACATTTGTCAAAATGGATGGAACTGTACACTTAAAATAGCCGTATTTTATTGTATGTAAATTATACATCCATAAAGTTGATTCAAAATTTTTAAAAAGAAACAAAAAATGTAACCAGTAAATAGGACATGGACATACTGAAGTGGTAAACATTGCAACTCAAGCAAGTGGATACAATCTGGGTCATTTTCTCCCCCACCAGTTTACAAGCTGTATGTACCTGTCTCATATTCAGTGCTTAACAAATATTACTTGAATTAACAAATGATACCTAGAGGAACCAAAGTCTAGTGAAAGGTATTGGATAGCACTGCCCTTTGGGGGAGTCTTCCATATATATCCCCTGTCTTGATCCCACCCTAATCATGAGCTCTCTTGCTCCTTTTTCTTAACCGTTCAGTGACCCATCTGCCCCACTACCCTTAATGCATAGCCTGCATACTCTTTCTCTCTTTATATTTGGAAAAAGTTTGGAAAGAGTTGGTTCTCTGTATTTAGAAAATAAGTGTGGTGAGGGGCAAAGCTGCATTTTTCTTTAAGAGTTTTGGGAGAAAACAAGAGAGCTAAAGGAGTGTGGAATTTCCTGACCAAGTAAAAAAATTGAAGCATGAAGGGAAACATCAATATTTCAAATACTACAACAATGTCAGGAATTAATATAATGGGAAAAGACTATCAACATTACAGTTAATCCAACTCAGATTAGGTTTGTTTGTTTTGGTTCGATTTTCACTGAGCACATATTACATGCAGGAAAGGCAGCTTTGTCATGATTGTTGTCCCAAAATTTGTCTCAATATTTATTCCCAAAATAAATATTGGAAGGGGAAGAAAGAACTAAGTAACTGTAACGCAGGGTAACAAGTGATGTGTACGTGTAGCAGAGTACATTTGAAGTGCTCTCTGGGCTCAGAGGAGAGAGAGACTGTTTCCCACTTATGGATCAGGGAAGACCTTTAGAGGATGTGACATCAGAAATATGCTTTGACCATTGAGTACTATTGAACAAATGGAGATTACAAGGAAGGCATTTCATACTGAGTTACAGAAATTAAACTAGTTTATATTAACAAATGGTTATAAAGCAGAAACAGAAAAAAAATTTAAATGGAGAGTAGAAAGGATGGCATTACTCTGTTGTCCTAGGATCCTGAGCTGTTTATTTCTCATTGCAATGGGGGCAGCATGGTGAGGAATCCCAAGAGATGACTTGATATGAGCTGTGAAGCAAGAAAAATGGGGAGAAACTCTGGATAAGTTGGAGGTACTGATTGACAATAAGGGAGAATGGTCAAGAGACAAAAGTTAAGAGAGGTACAAATGGGATATGAAATAAGAAATTGGGAAGAGAGGAGGAAATAGAAAGAACGCACCGGTGCTTCTTAAACCATAATGCAAGGACCATCAGAAGTATTAGAGGTGCTATCACTGCCAGTGGGATCCAGTTCAAGGAAAGGTGATGTCCTATGAATATTGGAGAGACATATAGATGTCATTTTAAACCCACTTCTAATTCTACTTCATCCTAATTCATTCTACTTCATTAGGTTTGTTTGTTTTGGTTCGATTTTCACTGAGCACATATTACATGCAGGAAAGGCAGCTTTGTCATGATTGTTGTCCCAAAATTTGTCTCAATATTTATTCCCAAAATAAATATTGGAAGGGGAAGAAAGAACTAAGTAACTGTAACGCAGGGTAACAAGTGATGTGTACGTGTAGCAGAGTACATTTGAAGTGCTCTCTGGGCTCAGAGGAGAGAGCCTACTTTCCCTACTTTAACATGTGCATTGGGTATGAGTCCCATCAATCATCCTTTTTAGTCACTCTATTCCCATCTTTGCTCAGGGAAGGGTTCCTCATCTCCCCCCAAATCTCTTACATCTGAATGTCCCTCATGTTCCAAAACTACATTCCTGGAATCATCTCTATTCATTCCTTCCTGATATCTCTCTCATTTAGTTCTGGCATCATGAAATTTTCCTCTGCCCTATCCTCTAGGCTCAAGAATCACCTTTTCACACTTAAAGATCTAGTCTTACTTACCCCAGTAGAGAATGATGTCCTGGTCTCCTAGACTGCTGTGCCTCACTTGGCAAAACAGGCCAGCTGCCTCCTCAGCCTCCACATTCAAGATCACCCGAAGATACCATGTCCCATCAACATTGGGCAGGACGTCACCTCGCTGAATGCCTGGCTGTTCCCGTTCACCCCGCATCCACATCACCCAAATAGGCTTTGGGTAGAATCCAGAGACGTGACAAACCAGCAACAGCTGGCTAGACCCAAGGATGGGGCTACCAGACAGCCAGGCCTCTGGCTTCACTGCAGAGGGCATGAAAGGTCTTCAGATGAAGACTGTAACACACAGCTTAGGGACACATAATCCAAATTATTATGCATGTATTATCCTCCTCTAGGAACATTTCACCCACAATGTTCTTGAACTCTCCTTCTTGAACTCTTTCTTGTCCTAACTTTGAAGAGAATCACGGGAAGGGGCAAGACTTGTATAGAAAAATCTTGGAGGAAGGGGCTGAACTAACCTTGCCTCTGGAGATACATCTTCCCTGCATCGAGGAGACCCCAGGCAAATCGCGGGCAGATGTTTCTGATGAGCTTAGACACTGTTTCCTTGATGCCTTCATACTGATTGATTAGATCACAGGCCCTCTGGGCCCTGATCTCACCCTCTGGAGATGGTACCCATGACATGTTTTGGAAACTCAGGAAATCTGTTCCTTGATAAGCAACCTGCAAGAAGCTTTTTGTGGTGTTTCTAGAATGCAGCTCACAACCAGCTGTCACCTGTAATTCAAAGGGATCTGGGAAACAGAAGGGAGGAGAGATTTCCTGAGAGATTCAGGAAAAAATGAGAGGAATGATATAGGAACGTAGGGCCTTTTTAAAAAGTGGAACAAGAAGGTTTTATATGGGTGTGAGAGTGAGCCAAAGATGTATTTTATCAGGAACAAGGAAGAGAAGAATTGGTGGGATGGGGAAGGGAGCATAAGGGATAAATGCCAAGAATTAAGAGTTTGATTTGAAGAAGTTGGGGAGAAATGATGAGTGAGGCACATAATACAGGTTAGAGGAAGTGGGAGAGAAACCCATGCAAGGGAAGTGGGAGTACAGCATTCCAGGGTGCATGAAATGGGTCATAATAGTTGTTGGACTATGGACATAGACTTTTGAATAAATTAAATTGAGGAAGAGATCGTATTTTAAGGGAGTCAAGCACAGAGTGTGATAATTGCATGATTCTGGGTTTTAGGCCACAGAATATAGACCACTGGGGAAAGATAAAAAAGCGCAAGAAGAAAAAGTCCAGAAGCAGCCAGAGTCTAGGAAATCTTGAGGAGTCAATGTCTAGAATAACCCCCAAAAAGTTTACGCATGAAGATTTTTATGGTGGGATGGGAATAATGGGAAATGGTTCAGAAAGATGTGAGAATGTTCCCCAGAAATAGAAGAACCTTCTGAAGGATTCCCTTAAATGAGTGAATTGAACTTACATTCGAACTGCAATTGACTGGCGTAGTCTTGAATCTCCTGAGTTAATCGAATGAGGTAGACACGAAACAGCAGCTCCAGGACTATAAACTCCTCATTGCTGAAGTTGCTCTTGGACCAGGTGTGCAGGAAAATTATTGTGCCTGATTCACTGTCCCAGCCATGAGTCTGCAACTCATCCAGCCAACCTGAACACTGAATTTGTGCCCAGGATTGGTTGGCAAAGGATGAGATCTGGATCACATGAAACAAGATGTGTTCCTGGACGACTATGAGTGGTAGAACGTCATGTAGTTTAAGGAAAAAAAGAAGTAAGCAGGAAAGAGAGAAGATGGAAAGTGAACCAGTCACTAGAGAGAGAGATATGCTATGTCTAGCTTAACAATGACACTTTCCTAACACAGGACCCCATGCTCTACCATCAATCTTCAAAAGAATAAACTGGACCTGGAGACAGGAATGCTCACATTGTAAGCATTGTGGTATCCTTAAAATCCAAATCCGTCTTGGGAAAGTCCACCAAACTCTACCCAGATCTACCCAACTGGGAAGCTCACAGATGTTCTTACCATCTGCATTGTCGCTGCCCGAGAGAAGAACAGCTAGTGATGCAAGTTGCAGAAACAGCATGTCTTTTGCAGATGTTCTTTTCTTTCTCTCCGTTCTCAGCAAACTTAGCCCTCAGTGTCTCTATTCTGACTTCCTTCTTCCGCCAACAGACAATCCTCCCCACCAACCACTGGCTGCAGCAAAGAGAATCTGCCGCTTCCCTTGACCTTGGGCCTCCTGCCTGATCTCTCACTTCCCCTCCAGCTCTGACCCCTCCTGTCTGGATTCCAGCTGCTTTTCTTACACTAACCTTCATCCTGTCTACTTCCCCTCCTCAACTGCCATGGACAAAGTTGTGCCTGACATTGGAAAGTCACTTCACCTCTCTGGGACTTGCCTCTCATCTCTAAAATAAAAAACAGAAACGACATGGTTTCCCCAGGTTCTGCTTGTTTTAACAGATCACAATTCTTCCAGTTTCTCCACTCAACTCTGCCTCCATGCTTGTTCAGAACAATATTCTCTAGGGAGGCATTTTGACTGCCTAACACTTCAGGTATCCACAATTTGAAATCTTAGAAGAGCAGCATGCTTTTCAACCTGAGGGCTAAACTGTTGTGCAGTGTACAACTGTGTTGGATTATAGTTGTCAGAAAAATGCGGCTTTTCAAGACGATACATACAATAGAAGATGTTAAAAATCTGTGTTGAAATTAAATTTTGTGATCTGATAAAAATACTGTGTCAAAAAAGGGTAGCATTTGTTAACACTTGAATTTAAGTAGTCCATTTGAGATGCAGTTGGTGATTTGTCAATGATACTGACTGGCTAATGTGTGAGAATACGTGAACACAAAATGTTTTTAAGATTCAGGTCATATGTTCATTATTATAATATCCCTTTAATAACTTTAAATAATTCACTGAATGCAGGGGAATAGTCACTTAAAAGCCCATTTGTAGCATTATTTCCCTTTCAGATTTATCAACATTAATAATGAGGCTGGAAGTTACACTCAGTCAGCTCTTTCTGTTGTGGTCACAGATATTTGGCAATTTCTATGAGCTGCAAATTCTTCCACGAACAATACATGGTTTAAGCCCCATACAAATCACTCATAAGCCCCAGATCTCATTTTTGCCCAAATCTTCTCAATGGCAAACTCGTAGTTTGTGGTTTTAGGAAGCTATTGGCAGATGCGATGCTTTATGTTTATTACATTTTTTTCCCTGTGGGCCTATAGGAAAAACACAATCTTCCTACTCCCTTGTAATTGGGTTAGGGTCATGTGACTGAGTTCTGGGCAATAAAGTGTATCATGCTGGAGATGTAAGCCGCCTCAAAGCCTGACCATATGAAATATCCCATCTGATCATCTTGCCCTGCAGTGCCAGCTTGAAGGACACCTGTTCGAGACAGAAAAGCTACAAGACAGAGAAGGGCTGCCTGATCTACATGGAGTTTGCCTCCATGAGAAGTAAACTGTGTTGTGTTTAGCCTCTAAGATTCTCAAGTTTATTTATAAACTGCAACACAACCTAGCAACACTGATTAATATTATAGAACCTGGTAAGTAGTATCCTTTCCCACCTCCTGAATTTGGAATCAAATGAGATAAAGATATAGAACATAAGATAGATGGATCAAACTGTCAACTTTACTTCTGATAAAGCTTCTAGAGCAAATCCCTTAAGTGTGCAATCCAAGTAATGTTACTAGTATTGAACTCACTGTTGTAAACTGATTATTTGTGTCCCCCCAAAATTCACATGTTGAAGTCCTACTCCCCAGTATATTTGCATTTGGAGATGAGGCCTCTAAGAAAGTAATTAAAGCTAAATGAGGTCCTAAGAGTGGGGCCTTATAAGAAGAGACACTAGAGAGTGAGCACTCTCCTCTCTCTCTGTTTCTCTCCATACTCGCACAGAGGAAAGGTCATGTGAGGACCTATCAAGAAGGTAGTCATCTGTGAGCCAAGAAGAGAGCCTTCATCAAAAACCAAATTGGCTTGGACTTCTAGTCTCAAGAATTGTGAAAAAATAAACTGTGGTTTAAGCCACCTAGATTGTGGTATTTTGTTATGCCAGCCTGAGCAGACAAATTCACCCACTGAGTCAAGGCAACGCTGGAAAACCCCTAAACCTCCCCATCGTATGAGAGTCAGGGCATGGAGGAGGAGATTAAGGTTGACACTTCTGAGAGCAAGTTGGCTCCAGAGGTAAAGGGTGGGAAGAAGTTATTGAGACATATTACATACCCAGTTTCTCTCCTGGACTCACCAATGAGATACTTCACTCTATTTTCTTGGGAAAGAATAAGGAGTGAGGAAAGAAACAAAAAGAATTTAGGGAAAATTCTCCTTTGGAGGAACGAGAAGAGTAGGTAACAGCCCCATCCCATGACATGGCTATACCCATCCAACCATCCAAACAGAAACCTAGAAACCTACATTCTTTGGAAACTTACTTCTCCTTGACTCCCCATAGTCACCTTGTTACCAGGTCATTTCTCTCCATAATTTGTAAAACTTGCCTCTTCCTCTCTAACCTCACTGACATTTAGTTCTGCTTTCATCATGTGTGACCTAGATTACTGCCACAATCCCTTAGCTGTACATTGCAATCCAAATCTTCTCCATATCTATTTAGCACTGCTGCAGAATTGCTACATAAAATATTAACCTGACCATGTCAACTTCATGATTAAAATATTTCAGTTAAATCATGAAGAATAAACCAAATTCCTAAGGTCGTCAATTTAACACACAAAGGCTCATCCAGCTCAATCCCCCCAAAAAACAGTAGGAGAGGTAGAAGGGAGTGGGCTCCATGAGAAGGGAAACTGACAGACTATTTGTACTGGTAAATACACGTGAACATAGATTCAAGAATCTGAAATTTATATAACAAGCAATGAGAAGAGAAGGAGGTGGTTATATGTGCTGTCTAGATACACACAATTGCAAAAGAATAATCTGAGTTGGGTGGGACATCCTATGATTAGAATCCAGCCTGAAAAATGGGTCCTGGGTATCCTGGGGGAGCCCAGTGCTCTTCCTCTGTCACTAACCCTCCCCAGGCTCCCTCTGTTTGCCCCATGGGTGCTCAGGCCAAGGGCATCCTCATATTCATCTTTGCCTGAGCTCTTAACTGGCACTCTCCAATTTCACCTCAGTCCATGATTTTTGTCCCCCAAGAGAGAAACCGCTCCTCAGAACTCTGATTTTATGTCTCCACCCCACACAATTTCAGACTCCATCATCCCCCTCTCTGCCAGCGGAAACCTCACCCTCTGCTCACTTCCGTATTTGAGAAATTGCACTGCTTCCCACAAGCACTGCCTTTTACTGGACCTTTCATATCCCAGTCAGCACTTCTTCCAATTATTCTCTCCTTTCTGGCTTCCAGAAGCAGTCCCTGCCTCTGTTCTGTGTCCTCCTCCCTCTCATGTCTCCAACAGTGAAGACAGTCCCATCCTGAGGGTGAGGATACAATCCTAGATGGACCACTTACTAGAATGCATTGATTAACACTCTAGGTCTCAGTTTCCCCCATTGTGAAATGACTGGATTGGAACAACTTGATATTCTCTACCTCTGCTTCAACTTTAACTTTCTTTGGTGTGGTGTGTGTTCATATTTGTTTTTATTTACATAGTCTATTAGGTGTTCATTTACAGCACGTCAAAATTTTCATATAGTCAGAGTCCCACAGCATTTGTAATTATATAATTTAATCATATTTCATTTTCGAATACTATTTTGTATTCAAGTATTATTAAGGAGTTTTCACTTCTTTTGCCTGTTAACATATGATAACTCTGCTTATCTTTTACTCATTCTCATTCATCACATGATTTTTATCCCTAAAAAATTTTTAAGTAATAATAATAATAATACATATGAGGTTTTTCCAATTAAAAAATGGGCAAAAGACCTGAACAGACATTTCTCCAAAGAAGATATACAGATGGCCAACAGACACATGAAAAGATGTTCAAAATCATTAACTATCAGGGAAATGCAAATCAAAACTACAATGAGATATCACCTCACGCCTGTCAGAATGGCTATAATTAACAAGACAGGAAACAACATGTGTTGGAGAGGATGTGGAGAGAAGGGAATTCTCATACACTGCTGGTGGGAGTGCAAACTGGTGCAGCCACTATGGAAAACAATATGTAGATTCCTCAAAAAATCAAGGATAGAACTACCATATGATCCAGCTATTCCACTGTTGGGTATTTATCCAAAGAACTTGAAAACACCAATTTGCAAAGGTACATGCACCCCTGTGTTCATTGCAGCGTTATTCACAATAGCCAAGACTTGGAAGCAACCTAAGTGCCCATCAAGGGACAAATGGATAAAGAAGCTGTGGTATATATACACAATGGAATACTACTCAGCCATAAGAAACGATGAAATCCAGCCATTTGTGACAACGTGGATGGACATTGAGGGTATAATGCAAAGTGAAATAAGTCAGAGGGAGAAGGTCAAATACCGTATGATTTCCTTCATTAAGTAGTAGATAATAACAACAATAAACAAACACATAGGGACAGAGATTGGATTGGTGGTTACCAGAGGGGAAGGGGGGAGGGAGGAGGGTGAAAGGGATAATTCGGTACATGTGTGTGGTGATGGGTTGTAATTAGTATTTTGGTGGTGAACATGATGTAATCTATGCAGAAATAGAAGTATAATGATGTACA